CAGCTAGATACAAGCTATGAAAGAGGAGATGAGTTATTTCCAGAAGAACTACACTTATGAGCTTGTTCCACTTCCAAGAGGCAGGAAAGATTTGAAGAACAAATGGGTGTACAAGTTGAAGAAAGATGGTAGCGAAAAACTTCTTCAGCATAAAGCTCGCTTGGTGGTCAAAAGTTTTAGGCAGAAGAAGAGAATTGACTTTAAAGAGATCTTCTTCCTAATTGTGAAGATGACTTCCATTCGAGTAGCTTTGGGATTAGCAGCTCACTTGAATCTGGAGCTAGAACAGATGGATGTTAAGACTGCCTTTCTCCATAGTGATTTGGAGGAAGAGATCTACATGGAGCAGTCAGAAGGATTTGAAGTTAAAAGAAAAGAAAATCTAGTCTGCAAACTAAAGAAGAGTCTCTATGGCCTGAAGCAGGCACCGAGATAATGGTACAAGAAGTGTGATTCATTCATGGTGGATTACAAGTACAAGAGAATGGTAGCAAACCAGTGTGTATACTTCCGAAAGTTTCGGATAGGAACTTTATTATCTTACTGTTGTATGTTGATGATATGCCAATCATCGGATAGGATATTGTTATGATCAACAAGTTGAAAAAGGACTTGTCGCAGTATTTTGACATGAAGAATTTAAGCCCAACACAACAAATTTTGGGCATGAAGATTATTCGTGACAGGAAAACTAAAAAGTTATGGCTGTCATAAGAGAAATATGTTAAACGGGTGATTGAAAGGTTCAACATGAAGGATGTCAAGCTAGTCAGCACACCACTGGCCAACCATTTCAAGGTGACAAAACACTCGTGTCCCATGACTAATTCTGATAGGAAATTTGATGTATGCAATGGTATGTACCCGGCCAAATATAGCTCACACAGTTGGCGTTGTGAGTCGTCGCCAATCTAGGAAATGAGCATTTGAAGGCAATTAAATAGATTCTTCAATACTTGAAAGGAACTTCAAAGATGTGTCTATGTTTTAGGGGAATTGAACCAATTTCGAAGGGTTTTACAGATGCCAATATGGCGGGTGATCTTGATGGTAAAAAATCTACATCAGGATTTCTATTCACCTTTGTAGAGGGAGTTGTTTCATGGCAGTCCAAACTGCAAAAGTGTGTTGCTCTATTTACAACAGAAGCAGAGCATATTACTGTCGCAGATGCCATAAAGGAAATGTTGTGGTTAAAGCAATTCCTTCAAGAATTGGGTTTACAACAGGAAAAGTATAATGTACATTGTGATAATCATAGTGCAATTGATATGAGCAAGAATTTCATGTACCATTCTTGTACAAAACACATTGATGTTCAGTATCATTGGATACAAGAAATGATGGAGAAGTAGTTGATGAAGCTGGTGAAGATTCACACGGACAAGAACCCTTCTGACATGATGACCAATGTTGTCACTAGAGACAAACTAGAAATTTGCAAGAATCTGACCAGGATGGATTTCAAGTGAGAAGTCAGTCATGTACATAGGTGTAGAGGGAGAGAATCGTTGATCACACCGGTACATACGGAGTAGAGGAGTCAAAGAAGATGGCCACCGAAAATGAAGACTGAGTTGGCCATGTGCAATGCCAGCTCTCCCGCTCCTGTCATTTCTGACTTCCACCAAAAGGAAGTTGAAATTTCGGTGGGTTTCTCTCTCTCTCTCTCTCTCTCTCTCATTCTTGTTTATAAATTGAGGTGAAAAGGAAGGGGTGAGACACTACAATAGCAAGAGAGGATCCAGAAGAGAGAGAGTGTGTTGTCTATAAAGAGGAAGTAAGGTATGAGTTGTAATCTCCCTCCGAAAAATTCTATAGTGAGAAATCTCTCCCTGTGGATGTAGACAATTGTCGAATCACGTAAATCTCTTGTGTTATTATTTGTGATTGCTTGTTGGTGTGCCAAATAGGTTTCCCAATCTTAATGGTGAAGACTTTTAGGTAAAATATTCATGTGACATATAACCACTTTCTAATGATGTTATGTTTGTTGGCATTTATTTTATTTTTATCAAGTATTTTCATGTTGATATCAAGTTTTGTTTGCTTCAATGGTAAATATGTGCAAGCATATACATGTATATTAAATTGTTAGGTGGGGAAAGTTGTGGCCAGGGATGCTATGGGTGGTTTGGGGAAGGAGGGAAGAAGTGGAAAAGTTATGGCTGTCACAAGAGAAATATGTTAAACGGGTGATTGAAAGGTTCAACATGAAGAATGTCAAGCTAGTCGGCACACCACTGGCCAACCATTTCAAGGTGACAAAACGCTCGTGTCCCATGACTAATTCTGATAGGAAATTTGTTGTATGAAATGGTATGTACCCGGCCAAATATAGCTCACACAGTTGGCGTTGTGAGCCGTCGCCAATCTAGGAAATGAGCATTTGAAGGCAATTAAATAGATTCTTCAATACTTGAAAGGAACTTCAAAGATGTGTCTATGTTTTGGGGGAATTGAACCAATTTCGAAGGGTTTTACAGATGCCAATATGGCAGGTGATCTTGATGGTAAAAAATCTACATCAGGATTTCTGTTCACCTTTGTAGAGGGAGTTGTTTCCTGGCAGTCCAAACTGCAAAAGTGTGTTGCTCTATTTACAACAGAAGCAGAGCATATTACTGTCATAGATGCCATAAAGGAAATGTTATGGTTAAAGCAATTCCTTCAAGAATTGGGTTTACAACAGGAAAAGTATAATGTACATTGTGATAATCAGAGTACAATTGATATGAGCAAGAATTTCATGTACCATTCTTGTACAAAACACATTGATGTTCAGTATCATTGAATACAAGAAATGATGGAGAAGTAGTTGATGAAGCTGGTGAAGATTCACATGGACAAGAACCTTTCTGACATGATGACCAATGTTGTCACTAGAGACAAACTGGAAATTTGCAAGAATCTGACCAGGATGGATTTCAAGTGAGAAGTTGGTCATGTACATAGGTGTAAAGGGAGAGAATCGTTGATCACACCGGTACATACGGAGTAGAGGAGTCAAAGAAGATGGCCACCGAAAATGACAACTGAGTTGGCCATGTGCAATGCCAGCTCTCCCGCTCCTGTCATTTCTGACTTCCACCAAAAGGAAGTTGAAATTTCGGTGGGTTTCTCTCTCTCTCTCTCTCTCTCTCTCATTCTTGTTTATAAATTGAGGTGAAAAGGAAGGGGTGAGACACTGCAATAGCAAGAGAGGATCCAAAAGAGAGAGAGTGTGTTGTCTATAAAGAGGAAGTACGGTATGAGTTGTAATCTCCCTCCGAAAAATTCTATAGTGAGAAATCTCTCCCTGTGGATGTAGACAATTGTCGAATCACGTAAATCTCTTGTGTTATTGTTTGCGATTGCTTGTTGGTGTGCCAAATAGGTTTCCCAATCTTAATGGTGAAGACTTTTAGGTAAAATATTCATGTGACATATAACCACTTTCTAATGATGTTATGTTTGTTGGCATTTATTTTATTTTTATCAAGTATTTTCATGTTGATATCAAGTTTTGTTTGCTTCAATGGTAAATATGTGCAAGCATATACATGTATATTAAATTGTTAGGTGGGGAAAGTTGTGGCCAGGGATGCTATGGGTGGTTTGGGGAAGGAGGGAAGAAGTGGATGTGTGGCGGGAGAGAAGAGAGGGGTGGTGAGTGTTGCTATTTGTTCCCACCATATTTCTTTAGACCCTTACCTACTAAAATTAGTCTTCATTGTTTTTTTTTTCTTTTTTTAACACTCACCATAATCTTAATTATACCTCTACCCAACCACCTTCACCCCTCCTCGCCAACCCCCACCTTTTGCAACTCATCTTTTAGCCACCCATGCCCTTTCTCACTAGAGGGGAGGAGTGAGAGAGATTGACAAAGCGAGAAAATAAGAGAGAGAGAGAGAGAGAGAGAGATCAACAGAGAGAGGAGAAAGAGATAGAAACAAGAGAGAGCATAGAGAGCGACAAAAAGAGAGAGAAATAGAATGAAAAGAGATAGAGAGAGAGAGAGAGAGAGAGAGAGAGAGGGAGGGGGGGGCGAAAGAGATTGAAACAAAGATTGGGAAGGTTGTGTGAGATAGAGGGAGGGGGGTGGGGGAGGTGGCAGATGAGGGTGGCTGGAGTTGGTGAGGAGTGGGGGTAGGGTTCAAGTTAGGAAGGTTAAGAATGAGATAAAATTAAAATTTTATGTTAAGATAAAATGGTGATAAAAAAATAATAGTTTTAGAGTTGAAAGAAAAAAATGGATTCAGAGTGTTGCCTAGTGTCCTATGCTCTACGGAGAGAGAGATTTGATTATTTTCATAAAAATTAAATATCCCCCAGATGTCAATAGGAAAAAATAAAAATAGCAATCTAATTTATCATACACCTTATATACGGAAAATACTTGCAAATATTTTACATTCTTCATACCACAACTTGTGACAATTTATCATATTTATACGGCCATTTAGGACCCACCTCATTTAAATAAATCCTGATACCAGTAAGTCACAAATATTAGGTATAATAAATTTTTTTAAAAAAAATAAAAAATAAAAAATTAGCAAGCAATGAGACTTTTGGCCTAGCCTTTATTAATGGCATTCATATGGACTTTTTGTGCTATTGATTTGCATCAATAATTTTTTTTTTAGTAAAAAAATAATAATATTAATCAAACTCAAGATCTCCAAATTTACTGTTGATCCTGAGCCACCTTTAAATCACTGGATTACCTTGACATGGATGAGGACATTTGATCATACCATACTTGGTAATCATTTATCTTATAATTCAGCCATGAAAGAAGAGCACCTACAAATCGAAACCATTAACAAAGGCAATCTCTTGTTGCTTTACCACTGGCCAAACAACTTCAAACACATAAGATCTTCTGTCTCGAATTCTCTCTCCCAAAATATGTGAAATGTCCATTAAAATTTTAATTATCTTTTAGCATTATTTAAATCTTAAGCGTTCACTAGCAAGAACCTATGAAGGATGGAATGCAAACTCATAGGATCTAACTCATAATATATAGGTTTCCATTATATATAGAAAATTTTCTGAGAACATTTTAAACCCAAAAGTGAAATAAGAAACCATGTGAAAGTGCAAAATAGGGATATGAAAATTCCCCAAAAAGAAACTTTTACATTAAACTTAGCCACCACACAAAGCAATAGAGAGATCTAAGTTAATGCTGTGTTTTTCAGAAGAGGAACCAGAGCAGTCGTTGAAGTTAGGCCTAGAGTATGACGATGAGATTGCTTCACTCATGTCGCTTGTCCACGAAGCGTTACTTCTCTGTGCAGAGGGATGATGCAACGAGAGCAACAGCGACAACCCGCAACCATCGGCCTCTTCCTCTTCTGCGTGTCCATTTCTAGAGTTATCGAATTTGCACCTCTTTGATGATGCACACTGTTGATCTTCTTGCATGGCAACCTGTAAAAAGAGAACAGGTTAATGAATTAACCTAGAAATGTTTACATAATTTACATGCACAGTTTAGAGAAGTATTGTTAGTGACAGATCTCTGGAATGTTTTAAATTCATAGCCACCCACAGGCAATTTAGTGAAATCTATGAGCATTTATGCTTTCATTTTGGACATGTTAGATTAGCAAACCTTTCAGGTTTCTTTTATGAACTGACATCTAGCAACCTAAAAGATTACCACCGCATTCGTAAACAAACTGTTATGGCAGGAGCCAAGATATGAAAATCTAAAATGGAACAAACACACACATAAATATTTACGTGGTTTGGCAATATGACCATGTCCACTAACGAAGAGCAACAAATAAGTTTCAGTATGAATGTAGAGATTACAATGCGCCATCTCTCTCTCAATCCTCTTTTGAAACTCGTAAGATCACTGTAAACTCAGGAATAAGTAACACCCACAACACAACACAAAACAGAAAACAAATGACTCGATATAACAAAGGCTACTATTTTTTAAAGAGAAAATTTTTCAAAGAGAAAATTTTTCATACAGAAAACAAGCCAGAAAAGATTTTCAAAACAACAATGACAAGCAATATAACAAATGCGAGCCAGTATCAGAATACCTCATATGCAAATATTTTTTGTTTTTTCCAAAGAGAAGATTTTATTAATTTGGAGAATAAATACAACCAGATGATTAAGGACCAAGGGTAAGTATTATAGCTAAAAGGGCACCACCCAAATAAGATGGCACAAACCCTTGACTAATCATTTGCATAAAACCCTTAACACATACTATATAGTAGCTTGGATTTGGCAAATACAACTGCCCAAAAGAAATTAAAAGAATGAAAAGAAAAGAAAAAGAAAAAACATGCAAAACTGTTTCTTAAGTGTATGCTCTGAATTTTTTTCATCTGAAATTTGATTTTACTAGAAGAGAATATACAATGGCTACATTTGGTATGACAAATTCCTAAAAATTTTATAGGTTTGTACCAATTGTTTAATTCAAGTAATTAAAGTTGGACATGGATGTTACATGATGAATAAGGTGGCCTACTACCGCAAGGACACTGATGTTGCTATTTAGTTACTGTACTGCTATAATAATGCGTTAAAGGGCCATTTTGGACTTCCATTTTGGATCCCAAGTGGGGGAACATACGTATCCCTATCTATCAAAAATATAGTGGACCACAGTATGTGTGTATCTCACAGGCTCGAGATCTGATCTGATCCCTCTCACCATCCCTCCATGTCTTTCCCTCTCTCGATTTTGGTGACAGCAACAAGAGGGGAAGGGCAGGAGCTTAGGACCGGATCCCTCTCACTGTCCCTAGCTCGTGTCTTTCCCTCTCTTGTTTTTTGGTGACACAACAAGAAGAGGGGCACGACTAAGGAAAAAGACAGAGGCATAGGACAAAATATGAACATAGAGAGGACAAACGAGCCTATAATTGTTAATCTTACCAATCAAAACATCAGGACCATTTTTCACAATTAGGGATGGCAATTTCCCCACCTCTAAGGCTATAACCGAACTGAATCAAGCTAAGTATTAAGTTGTTCAAGTTTTGCTTAGAAACTTAACAAATTTCAAAATGTGTTCAAGCTTGCTTTTTTTCTTTTTTCTTTTTTTTTAAACATAAAATGTGTTTAAGCTTGACTAGTTTAAATAACAATCCAATCTTAAATGAGTTTTTAACGAATAGAGCACAAGTCAAGCTTGAGTGGCTCGATTTTTTACAATGGATATCAATTTATTGAGCTGGCGTCGTAGGTTGTTCGAGCTTGTTTTGATATTTAACGAGCTTTAAAATGTATTCAAGCTTGACTTTTTACACAAAAAGTCGATCTTGAACGAGTAGCATAGTTCATTTAATAGTCCTACCCACCCCCTTGTGGGTTTTTCTACCCAAATAAGGATGTTGGGTGAGGACAAATTTCCTTTCCCCACCTCCATCCCAATTAAATCTCTTTGTTTGTATATAATACATATACATATATATAATTTATTTTTTAAATATAGTAAGACTAAGATACCAAACTATTACACTAACTATTCATTTTCACTTTTACCTCTCATTTTACATTTGTTCAATTCTTATCACTTATCAATTATTATTTCTAATATGCCTTATTATCGCACTTTTATTAGTATCTACGTTACAAGGTTGCAAAATTAACTTTATCTTGCCCTTGCAAAGGGTCATCATTTGGCTCAAAGACCTGCGGTTCAACCCAAGCTTGCCTAGCCTAGTAGGTTTTTACCCTGCCCAAGCCCATACCCTGGGTGGGGCAAGCAAATTCGAATGAGGCTTGGCTTGGGCCTAAGGCTTTGAAGCCTATCCCAGCCCGTTGGCTCATCCTACGAGCCTAGCCAAAATATAAAAATAGGAAAAAAAATTAAAAAGAACTCAAGATATAAGTTTTAATCTCAACTCATTAAGCTAAGCCCGCATCCCAACCTATAGTTTCCATTCATTGGCCCACCCACCAGCCCGTTGGGCAGGCCTTGGGCCTAAGGTTTTGTTCGGCATACTGACCCTTAGCCCCCACCAACTGCTCAATTTCCCCCCAACCTTGAATCATTTCAAACTCATCCCCACTATCCACCGCGGCACCCAGACAACAAATCCTCTGAAATACCTACTGAAGGAAAATTTTAATCAATGACCACAGGTGTGTTTGGATATGACATCTAAGTAGTTTAGCTGGTGTGCTTCTTGTGCTTTAAACATGAACTTTTCTTCTTTTTTTTTTGAATAACAGGTGTTAAACATGAACTTGATAAATATAAAACGTTTCTATTTTATTGGACAAAAGTGAACAGAATCTAGTTTCTACCAACTCCTGTTTGAAACCCTGCAATTATTTGTGTACAATATTCCACACCAACTAAACAAGAAAATAAAAACGTTTACTTGCAACAGCATAGAAATTATTTATTTAAAAAAATAAAAAATATAAAAGAGAGGTAGAAAAATCCCCATCGATGGACCAGCTAATTCTCATTCAAATGAGGCCAAAAGAGTGTAATAGTAAAGCATAAAGATCATAATAACAAGTACATGAAAACCACAAAACAACAAACAAGAATGAGTGTAGTATACAGGCAGCGCCGGTCCTGGGCATTGGCCAACAAAGCCATGGTTTAGGGCCCCTCAAAATAGACTTAAAAAAGGAATCCCTTTTATTATGGTATAGTGTAATATATTAGGTATGTTTTAAGTTTAAAAAAAATTAAAAAGAAAATACAAATTAACTTAAAATAAATTGAACCATTAAAAAATTAAAAGGCCCATTCAAAAAAATTAACATTGTAATCCACTAAAAATAGACCCAAAAAAGGATCCTCCTATTATAGTTTATTGTAATATATTAGGTATATTTTAAATCTAAAAAAAAATTAAGGAAGACCTAAACTAACTTAAAATAAATTGACCTATTAAAAAATTGAAAGGCCCATTTAAAATAATTAGCATTGTTATTCATTGAAAATGATTTTGCAAAAAAATAGATTATGCAAGTATGATTAATTTATAAAAATTAAGGAAGACCCAAACTAACTTAAAATAAATTGACCTATTAAAAAATTGAAAGGCCTATTTAAAATAATTAGCATTGTTATTCATTGAAAATGATTTTGCAAAAAAATAGATTATGCAAGTATAATTAATTTATTTGCTTCTAAAAATGCAAGAAAAGCGATGATCAAACGACACTTATTAATTGTGATAATGTAATACTAAGTATTTTTTTATAATTTTGACACAAATTTTGTCTTTTATCTTCATTTTTTTTTTCTTTATTTTTCATTCAATTAAAAAAAAAATATGAAGGACCCCAAAAATTTATTAATTAATTATTGACTTTGGGCCCCGAAAATCTAAGGGCCGGACCTGTATACAGTGTTTGTATGCAATAATGCAACAAAATTTAATAACCATGAAGATTATATTAATTTGTCCACAAGGACGATAGGGACGGTAATTCAATCCTCATGGATGGTCTAGTCGATGTGTTTCACATGGGAGTTTTATCTAGTTAATTTTTAGAGTTTTTTCTTTTAGTTTTATTTTTACGAGTGCAGAAAGACTAGAATTTAATCTATACACATAATTTACAAATAATTATATGTATTCAAAATTTATTCATAAAATTTTATATTGAATCTCAAATATGTGCCAATTAGAGTTTTTACATCCTGATAAAATTGTTATTCCACTTTTTGCCCCTTTTCTTATTTTTCTTTTCCTTTTTTTTTTAAGCCAGTATGTATCTACAGTCAAGTGGCAAACCATGTAAGCTCCCGTCTTTTAAGAATCTGATACGAATTGTGTGTCCGCTTGATAATAAAGGGTTAATAAACTTGAAGGGAGACACGGCGATGTCATGTCTCAGACATATGTGATAATTTCTAATGTTACACGACCCAAAATTTGAAACCCGTTTTCCTCGAAAATCAATAGGAAAATGCTATTCTTCCACAATTGTCATACATTCATCATGGTGAGTTATGTTATGAGTGCAGTTTAATTGTTTAGATCTGTGGAACCCACCACGGTTTCATTTTGATGACCTAAATCATTCATGTTATCTGGCCTTTCATGTATATCATTCATGAAAAACTAAACAAATGTATTTTTAAAAATAGAGTTCTATATTTTTGAAAACAAATAAATAAAAAAATATAATAATTATCGGATCGATTTATTTTATTTTTTTAATAGACAATATATGCAAAAAAAAAAAATTATAAAATAACCAGTTAAAATCAGACCTTGTGTTGCCCAATTCTTTTTTTTTACATAAATATTTTAAGGTAATAAATTTACAAGTAAAACTCTGCCACATCATTTTATATATAATTTTATAAGTAATTTATATTTGTATGACATTACCCATCATAAAGCTGGTACAAGAAATAGTAGAGAGAGAGATAGAGAGAGGGTAAGGCTATTGTACCTTAAGGAAATCAGATTCTTCCAATGCACCAGCATGGCCAAAGCGATTGATGAAAAGATCATGTGGTAGAGAAAAGGCAGCAGATATAGGAGCTGCCTCGTGGTTCTGCCACGTGTAACCACTCTCTTCTTCCTTTACCCCACTTTTCTCAGCCATAGTAGGCTGAGGCTGAGGCTGCTGCTGCTGCTGTAAATAATCATCAAAACAGTACGGATTGGTGACTGTCTCACATATTCTTCTTCTTTGGCTGCTGCTGCATTGCAGGTTCTCTGAGATAGTTGAACTCATCTTCTCGATTCTTGCTCTGAGGAAACAAAAAGAACTTTGAAGAAACACGAGAGAGAGAGAGAGAAGATATAGTATTATATCATATCATATATACAAACAATTTCAGAAACAGTAAAGACAACAATGCATGTGGAAATGCAATACCCTTTTTGTTTCTTGAGATTTGGGTCTGAAACAAAATAGGGGATTTAATACTATGCTTTCATTGCTTTGATTTGGTCTCTCACCTTTTTGTAGGGAGAGGAGGAGGAAGAGGAGGACTAGTGTAGATGAAGTGAGAATCTGATTCCTCAATGGGCTTTAAAGAAGGATGGTAACAGCAGACTTCATTTTCTTGATCAACACACCCATCATCATCATAGTGATCTTCAAAAGATTGTTTCCTTTGTTGGTTTGAACTCCGATCTGCAGTTATTGATGAGACAAACTTTAAGTACTATAAAAAATAAAAAGAAAAAAAAAAGTAATGTTACCGAGTAAGCAGTCAAGAAAAGAATTTAAAAAGAGCATCCTTGAAATTAAAACATGCCAGTAAATTTAAGAGTGATATTTACTAGGTATGAAACTTTTTTTTTTTTAAAAATTAAAAACATGCTTTTGTTTTATAGAATAATGTTATACAAATAGAAATTATATATAAAACTATCATACAAAATGTCATTTATTAAAAATCAAAAAGTCCAGCATTATGATCTATATTTGTAAAAACGACATTGTAAAATTATTCTGTATAATATTTTTAACATTTTTCTTTTGGATGTATCTCGTCTATTTGGAGTAGCTTTTGTGAAATGAAAATTGAAAATTAGTCAGTAAAAATAAAAAATCTCTTTATTAAATTTTTTATACTTCACATTTTTTAATTTATTTAAATTATTTTTTATCATAATTTATAAGTCGAAATTATGCTAAACATATTAGCACATATTATTAAAAGGTAATGCTAGAATCACATCCATAGACAAAATGCTAGACACGTCGCAAAATGGCCCATAGTGAATGTGATAGATGGTTGGAATTAAACGTAGTTATGATGAAATTTATATTCAAAATAAATCTCAATCTATTAATAAATTTTTTGTAATTTATTCTTGTGTTTCTATTATGTATTCTTTAGCATTAGTGAATAAACATCTACTAAATTTTCCTCTAAGGTCCATGTATTGAAACAAACAAGAAAAGCCAAATTGGGTAAAGCATTTAGCAAGGTTTTGAGTCCCAAAAAAAAAAAAAACTTTGGGATAACCATGCAGTAAGAATTAGACTTTGTGGATATCATAAGAAATGCCAATATTAGAAGATTTAAAAGGATGGTTGTTTATTCTGTGCTCATCAATTTTGGCTAAAAGGGGACAACTTTATGGGGAATGAAACAATAAATGAAGTGAGGATGCAAATACATTTTGGTAAAGATGTGATTACATCAACTTTGATTTGGGACAAAGATAAGTACCAATAGAGGAAACCTTTTTCAGAGGAACCAAAAAAAAAAAAAAAAAAAACATAGTGAATTAAATACAACTTCCTTGTGCAGAAATTTTATGCAAATCCCAGTTGAGTATCCAAAGTTTGTATAAAAATGAAGGGAAAAAAACAAAAAAAAAGAAATTAATAGCATTTGGGTTTCCAACAATTCTAGGAAATCATATTTGTTCACATTATAATTAATGTATATCAAAATTTTAAATATTAGCCCATAGATATTCAATACAATACGAATTATGCTTTTGGACAGTGCCATAGCACCTATTATTACTCGAATAGATACATTTTTTTTTTTTTTTAAACCCATTTTTACCCTAAATTAGTAGATCACATTAAGTCCTTGAACGGAGAATAGAATATCTCTCGGCTAACCCAGCTTCGTCTATTTTTTGGGACCAACAAGGAATTACTACAAAAATATTCACATGTCATTCATAGTCTTAGACTGATATATCGGTCATCAATTAACAGAGTCTAATATCATTCGATATATAATCGTCTATATATATTCTGATATGTCTATTTAAAATCATATTATGTATGCATGTCAACGGATATAGGGATGTCAAAACTTTGGGATGTCAAAACTTTGGATACCTTGTTTGCTGTGGTCACTTCTCATGCTTCTGTACATCTGATTGGAACCAAAACAACCAAAAAAACAAAAACAAAGATATGCATTACTTACAAGGTGAATCCAAAGTCATCTCACTTAAAAGAGAAACGAAAACAAAAACAAAAAAAAAAACCTGGAGATGACTTTTGACATGTGAAATGGTGAGTCCTCTCACATCCATCAACTGAAGAACCAGCTTTGGTGTTGCTTCTACAAAGTAGAAAGAACAAAAATCCAACAACATATATCTTTATCAAAGAACAAAAATTACAGGACCACACAACAACACAAATCAAGAAAATCAAGAGAGGGAGAGAGGAAAGAAAAAAAAATAAAGAGCACCCCAACAAAGTCAAGAGAGAGAAAGCAAACATTGATTGTTGACAACTTACTATCCTGACCCCCAAGCCTTTCAATGGCATGAACAAAACATTGATGAAGATCAGGAGTCCATCTCAAACGAGGCACCTTGGATCTTATATACTGTCTCACAGCTCCATTCCTTCCACAACTACCCATCTTGATCTTCTTCTTTTTTTCCTCTTATCAAACCCTGTTTGTTTCTCGAGAAAATCTGTCAAATATCCAAAAGGGTCTCTTCAAAACCTCTTCTTTTCCCTTCTTGATCAAGTATTCCCCCCAAAACGTTTCTATATCAACCAATCCCGTCAGAACTGTCTAAGGTTTGAAGCTGCACCAAATAGTGGCACAAAGGGGGTAGTATATAGGGGAGAGAGAGAGAGAGAACAAAAAGAAGAGAAAGAAAGAGAGAGATTATGAGAAAAGAAAAAGAAAGAAGGAGAAGCTGAAAGAGGGGGTCTGTAAATTCTTTAGGAGTCTGATGAGCTACTTCTGTTCTGTTCTACCCCAGCGAGGAAAATTCCCATCACGAGTTTCTGATCCCTTTCTGTCTCTCTCTATGTATTCTCTCTCCTACACGAAATCATTACAAATACAACTGCTTTTTGCTTCTGCTGCGCTGCTGCTTTGACCCTTCTCTCCTCTGTCCTCTCTCTCTCTCTATGGATTCCTGATTTTCTCTCTCTAGAATCGTAAGAAGCCAACGTCGTCATGATCACAAAAGCCCATGAAGAATTTTGTATGTATTTTCGTAGTTGTTGGTATAATGAAGCCAAGGACCCTTGATGGTGACGTCCATCCCTCTCTAGGCTGCTGCAGCTACCCAGAGCTTCTGTTTACTCTTACCAATACAACACCACCTCTCTCTCTCTCGCTCGCTCTCTCTCTCTCTCTCTCTCTCCTTATTACATTCCTTTTTTTCTACTTCACCTTTATTTGTTTTTATTTGTGCTTCAAATTGTCATTAAAATTATGCCTTGTTTTGGAAATTCATGAGTTGTTTGGCCTGTTCTAAATAAATATATTTTTTAATTTTTTATAAAATATAGATTAAGTTTAAAGTGATATGATAGTAAAGTGATATGATAAAAAAATAATGTAATTTAAATAAGATGATGTAATTCAAATAGAATAGTGATTTTTGACTTTTTAACTTTTTTAGAAGATGACAAATAAGGCCTCAGTCTTCCTTTGGAATGTGAGTTATTTTTTAAATTTTTTTTATTATTTTAACTTAAGATTAAAAAGTTTTATTTCAAATAGATTTTTTGATTTTTTAATTTTTGTTGATTTTTTTTAATTTTTATAAGATAAAAAATAAAATAATTATGATTTAAATGTAATATTTTATCTTATTGACCTTGTTTGGCATATATTAAAAAAATCAAAAAGTCAAAAAATTATTATCTTATTTAAGTCATACCATCTTATTTAATTTATATCACTTCTCTACCACATCACTTCAAACCCAACTCATATTTCATAAAATATTAAAAAGTACACTTATTTAGAATATCTCAAATCACTCCTAATTTTTTAACCTATTTGATTTGACATAAACAAAAAAAATCAAACAATCAAAAAAAATTATTTAAAAAATCAAAAAATTCATATTATTTGGAGTAACCTTGTAAGGAAAGTTTAGAAAGTAAAATTATTATTTTATCCTTTGAAGGGTTGGTTTAGGATGTCCTAAAAAAGTATACTTTTTGACTTATTGGTGGGTTTGGGTTGGGTTTGGGTTGGGTTTGATGTGATGTGTTAGAGAGGTGATGTGATTTAAATAAGATGATGTGACTTAAATAAGATAGTAACTTTTTGACTTTTTGACTTATTTTAGCCTCCGTTTGGGAAGTGGGTTGGCTTTTTGGCTTTTTGGCTTTTTTGGCTATTTTAGCTTGGGCTAAAAAGCTTGGTTTGGGAAAGGCTTTTTGGCTTTTTGGCTTTTTTGACTTTTTTTGTGAGAGAATAATGTAATGATTATAGGTTGGATGTGATGTTTTGTTTGTTATGGCTAAAATAATCTATTTTGTTTTTTGTGCTTAAAATAGTCAAAAAACCTGAAAAAGCCCTTGTCAAACACAGGCTTAGTACATACCAAACTAGAATCTAAAAATCAAGTCAAAAAGTCAAAAGGATAGGACGGTTATTTTGTTTTTATTACAATATTTTATTATATATTTTTTAAAAAAAATCAAAAAAATTATTCCAAACATATATCTTTTTTCTCTTCTTTTTTAACTAAACAGTTAAAAAGTACATTTATGTATCACATCTTAAATAACCACTGTCTTTTTGTTTTTTTTTTTGTTTTTGACTAAAATAGCTAAAAAATTCCATGCCAAACATATAACTTGTTAAAAGTTAAAAAGTAAATTTTTTTTTTTTTTTTTTACTTAAGTGACATTATCTCTTTATTTTTTAACATATTTTTTTTAAAATGTCAAAAAAAATAAAAAAAAAATTAACTTTTAATAGGCTTGGTTTTAATTTTGACTTATTTTGAAAAGTCTGTTAAAAGTTTTTTTTTTTGTTTTTAATGTGTAAAAAATTAAAAAAGTGATATGAATCAAAAAAATTAAAAAATCAATAAGCTAGTTTTTAATCTAGTTACCGAATTAACCTTTATAATCAAAATTTTGATTTTTTTTTAAAAAAATAAAAATTGATTTGACTATAATAAAAAAAATTAATTATATTTGCTCTTCAAAAATGATGAGTGATTTTTATTTATTATTATTTTACTAAATTAGTTTTCAATTTTAAAAAAAAATAAAAAAAATTCTAAAAATCAAACCAAATATAAATTTCACACTACCCTTATTTGTACTATCTCCTCAAACCCACCACTGCCACCATCCCTTCGTTACGGCCACCTTTTCTTATCTTATTTGTCACTGTTGTCACCCTTAGGTTACAATTCCGGCAGTTTTGATCGGATTAAGAGATTGTTTAAGTTTAGTTTAAGTTGTGCAAAGACCTGTTTAGGCTCGTTCAAGCTTGAATTGTAATTTGAAATTGTCTGTCCAAACCCGACCAGAGTTAAACTCGAATTGCTCGAATTATAAATGAATTTCAGTCTTTTTTTTTTTTACAGCTACATTATTAAATTATTAAAATTTGACTCTATTTACAATTTTTTCTTAGAAAATCATTAATACTATCAAAATAAATAATTTATAAAATGTAAGCGAGATGTCGCTATAATAGTCCTTACAATTTATGAGTGAAAAGAAAAAAAAAGTAAGATTTTATGTCATTTGTATATATAATATATTTAATATGATTTAATAATCTAAATTACTTTAATATCATGTAATGACTAATAATTTATATGTATATTTAATATTTTATATATATATATATATAATTCGGGTTTTGGGTTGCTCGGGTTGTTTGACGTCTTTACCCAAACCCATCCAAATTTAATTCGGGCTTCTGATTTTTTGCCCAAGCCCGTATCGAATTTGAAAATATCTTACCCAAGTCCTAAAAAAATTCAGATTAGGTTCAAATTGCTCGGGTTGAACCTGTCCAAATTGCACCCCTAGTTACCCTAATTAGGTCGGCTCTAACATTTTGAGAGCCCAAAGCAAACTCTTGATATGGGAACCTCTCATATATTATAAAAAAGAAAAAATTGTGATCAAAAGATTTTTAGATGGGATCTTGTGACATAGTTGACCAAAATAAAATTTAATTAATTTTAAATTTAGAAGTTTGTTTTCTCAGAAACAATTATAAACTGGTATAATTAATCGTTTATATATGCAATACATGCAACTATTCAGTAATTTAAAATAATTCACCACATCAATCGACTTTTTGGTTTTTGGTAATAAAAATAATTATTCATTTGTTTTAAATAATTCACCACATCAATCAATTATTAATTTTGAATTTTTGCCAAACTTTATTGATGCATTCCAAATTGAGGTGTTTTTTTTTTTTTTGGACTAGTATAATAGCTAAAAAAAACTCAGGGCCTTTTTTTCGACTCAATTTTTTGGGGCCCAAAGTGGCGGCTTTGCCAACTTTGGGCCAAAATCGACTCTGCCCAGCCTAACTCCCCAACCCCACCCCTCCACCAAATCTACCACCGTACGTCCTCGCTTTTGACTAGGGCTCTCCCCATTCTTACTTCACCATCCAACACAACCTCATGTCTTCTCTTAACCAATGGGAAAAGAAGACATGAGATTCAGGATGAAGATATATTTGGAGATATTAGAGGAGTAAAGAGATAAATTAAAATTCTAAAGTTCTTAAATGGATGTAATGAGATCATGTATTATATTAGCTCATTTAGCTAGCATAAAAAAGTGCCCTAACAATTTTAGCGCTAAATTTTTTCTTTCGAGACATTTGTATATCCTTGTCGAATGGGGTTTTCCTTTAGTTAAGGATTGATACCCAAATGAATTGAGGGCTTTCAATACAAAGGATCAAACCCTACACCCTCTGTCGTTGTTCCAATATCTCACTTCATTCACGTACACTACAAGAAAAAGCACAAATGGCGACTAAAATTCAGAATTTTGTCGCTGAAAGTTGACCAAATGGCGACTAAACTGGATGTAGTCGCCAAAAATGAAGCCTTTTGCCGACTAAAATGAATTAGTCGCCGAATACCAGGGTTTTAGCAACTAAACTGTTTGTTGGTCGCCGAATGTAGCAGTTTTACCGACTAAAGGTTGTTTGGTAGCCAAAAGCGACGGTTTTTGGCGACTAAAATAATTTAGTAGCCAAAATAATTTAGTCGCCGATTATAGGTCTTTTGCCGACTAAAAAAAGATTAGTCGCTGAAAATGAAGGTTTTTGGCTACAAAAAAAATTTAGTATCTAAAAACAATGAATTGGCGACTAAATTTCAATTTAGTAGCCAAAACGGGACGTTTTTGGCCACTAAAAACAGATTTAGTCGCCAAAAGTGTTATTTTTAATTTAAACATATTTTTTTAGCGACAACAAATTAATTAGTAGCCCAAAAATCATAGAATTGGCGACTAAATAATTGATTTAGTCGCCAAAAGTGGTCTAAATTTTTTTTTAATAAATAATTTATTTTTTACATAAATTATATTCAATAAAAACAATTATACTTACATATATGGTTTTGTATGAATACCGGTCAAAATAGTATATAAATAATATATATTGCATATATAATCATGTGATGTTCAAGTGGCATAGTGGAGGGAGTATGTTGGTATGTGATGTTCAAGTGGCATAGTGGAGGGAGTATGTTGGTAAAGGTGTTGGCAGTTGGAATGGTTCACGGTTTCGAATCTCAGAAAAACCAAAGAATTTGTTTTTTTTTATTTTTACGGAAGAACCTTTGGCAACTAAACTTTTAGTCGCCAAAAGTGTTATTTTGGACGACAAAATAGTTTAGTTGGCGATTTATGGACTATTGGCGACTAAAATATTAGTCGCTAAATGTGTGCTTTTAAAAAGTGTAATGCACCAATGGCGACTAAACAATTGGTCGCTAAAGAGCTCTTTTTTGCCGACTAAAAAAAGTTTAGTCGCTGATACCTCTAGCGACCACGTATGCACGACAAAAGGGGCGACTAAAAAAATTAGTCGCTGAAAGTAAAAACTCGACTTTCGGCGACTAAAAGCGCACTTTTAGCGACTAAAAATTTAGTCGCCAAAAATGATTTTTTCTTGTAGTGGTATTTGCATCTGTGTCTCCTTTGTTTCAGAACATGCTTAAAAAGCTCCTATTTTGAGTGTCCCTTTGCTAGTTGCGCTTTATTGCTTCTTGTCTTAGGCTAGCTACTAGCCAAAGATTACCAGCAACTCTATTTTGACTACACAACACTAACTCTTGCTTGGTTGATCTTGAGAT